TTTGAACTGTGGTGTTGGAGAAGACTCTTGAGAGTCCCTTGACTCTCAAGGAGATCCAACCAGTCCATCCTAAAGGAGATCAGTCCTGGGTGTTCATTGGAAGGACTGATGCTGAAGCTGAAACTCCAATACTTTGGCCACCTGATGCAAAGAACTGACTCATTGGAAAAGACCCTGATGCTAGGAAAGATTGAAGGCAGGAGGAAAAGAGGATGACAGAGGGTGAGATGATTGGATGGCATCACCGACTCTATGGACATGAGTTTGAGTAAGGTCCAGGAGCTGGTGATGGACAGGGAAGCCTGGCATGCTGCAGTCCATGGGGTCTCAAGGAGTCGGACACTACTGAGCGACTGAACTGAACTGAACTTCATACTTTACGGGTGGGACCAGGAGTGCGTTTAGTGTAGGACCCTTCTGAGTCTCTACCTAATGTCCCATGAACTGTGAGCCTGATTGGTGGGAACAGGCGCTATTCCTGACCCTGTGTTGTCCAAGTACTATTCCCTCTAATCTTTCAAGTGGTTCTTTGCCCAGCTTTGAGTAGCTTTCCTCATCCTCTGTGCTGATCATACATGTCTGCCAGGTTTCAAGGGGGACATCTACAGATCTCTAGAGTTCTCTCTGTCTCTGTAACAACCTGTTTTCTGGTCATCTATCCTGCAGACTAGCAGCTTTGGTCTTCCTACTTGCTCTGCCTCCTCAACTCAGTGTATATTTAGGAATTGTTTTCACATATTACTTTTATTTAGAGAAACCTTTGAACTGATTGGAATGCTCCGGAAAGTCAACCACCCCCATAATCAAATCTGTAAAGTGAACTGTTGAAATGAGCATCTGTTCCGTAAGAGTTCTTTATCATTGACCTCTCTACACTCCCTGTGGCCTGCATTGTAGTGCCTGTTGCTGTTGAGGTTTCAACTTTTACCTCTAAATTCTGACACGACAATTACAGTTCTAAGAGGGAGATAGCACCACACCATTGCTGACAGTGAGTTCTGCTGTATAGTTAACCACCTGCTATTCTGCGGTGCAACTTAAGTTGTCTCCCAGAGGACAGGAGAATTCTAGAGGAAACCAAGGGAAGCCTTCCTCACTAGGTATTATAACACATTTTATCATGCTTTATTCCCATTGTTCATGCCCTCACTGCCAGGGTCCAGCCCTGGCAGGATCCAGGGGAACCCTCAGGATGAACGGCGTCGATAGAGAGAGACACGTACGACCGGCCTTGATAGGGCCAAGTCTGCTAGGGAGAGAGAGAGAGAAAGAAAGAGACCAGACCAGGAATATGCAGCTGAGTCTGGCAGTTGCTTTATTTTTCACCATAGCCTTTATACCCTAAGTTGGTACATTTCTAAGGGGCAGATAAGCATACAGACTTAGTTTAACATTATATCAGCTTGTCCTTCATGAAACCAGGTGTGCTCTGTATATTTTTTGTTTATGAGGGTCTTTTCCCATAGATTTTCTGTACATTATCTTCTCGCCTTGAGGTTAGCAGAAAACAGAAGGTTGGCAGTCTCATGGTACAGCAAGTTGTAACATAATAGAAATAAAACCTTGTTAACATAAAAGACAGTCTTTTTGCAGAAATTCTCAGCTAAATTTATCTAAAAAGTTTAACACACAAAGACTCTGTGGCTCTGGTGAGGCAGCCCCTGTTTAGCACTCCTGGTTAAAATTAACAATTATCTTATTGTTTTTACACTAGGGCTAAACTCTTATTTTACTAGATCTCCAACTATATTAACAATAGTTTCCACTGCACAACCTCAGCACATTAACATCAATCAAACGTTGATCTAATAACCACTTTTAAAACAATATTTTTTGTATTCTCTAATAGGGCTTCCTCACCCCGCATAGGGCTCTGTGCCTATTAGGGCCTTTTTTATGATTAATCTCTATGTATAATATCTTTTGGCTTTCAGGCTTGTTGACAATTTATGGTTTGCACCTGGTGCAACTTTAAGCAACTTCAGTAGCGGACCCTGTCTTTTTTGTGGTTAATCTATTTTCTTTCTATTAGGTGTCATCTCCAAGGGAACTAGATAGGATTACATTTTCACAGAACAGAAATGCAAAGGATTGCAAAAACAGCAGATATGGCACAAAGCAGGCTCTTAGTCTAAAAGCTAATTACCTGCAAGAAGTCACCAGCTAATCTCTATCTAAACTATTTTTTATTAGGCACATTTGTGGCTATAATATTTGTGGAGCTTTTCTCACCCTGCAGAGGGACCTATGCTTAATAGTTTCTTTTGTTAGCGTACTGTGCTTAGGATGTTTAGAATAATCATGAGCATTTTGTGCAATGAGATCACACATTTATCAGACAAGCCAGAATGCCAGCAAAATGTTTGAATGGAAGCATTTCCTTCATCTCTGGCCCCTTCATACGGTACCAGCGTCCATGAGATTTATTAATTAGGGTTTTAAGTTGGTCCTCATTCAGTGAAAGAGGAGCAGGAGAGCTCTCGGCAGGCAACACAAGAATCCGCAGCAGAGCAAACAAGAACAACAGCAGAAAAGTGGGGAGGATACATGGTGGGGTAGAAGCCGAGGCCAACCTGGAGGGTCTCTTATCCTAGATGGCCTTGCCTGTCAGGTTTTTTCCTCGTGACCTCGTCATGGATGGGGTCCCGGACGGCCTTGCCTACCCGGTATTTTCTTCATGACCTCGTCACAGGCAGGACCTCCCATAACGGCTCCCGACACCTCACCTAACCTCACCCCAGGCCTTTGCAGGTGGTAAGTTCTCACTTTCTGTACAAACACTAGGAACCATGAAGTCTGCCCAAGATATCACTTAGGTGAAGAATTTTAATCTCATAGGGGTGGCAGAGCCTGTGCCTGTTCTGTTCTCCTGAGGAGGTGGCTGGGGCATTGAAGTTTCCAGCAGGTGGGCAGGCTTAGGGGGCCCAGAGTACAAGCAGAGCTGTGGGTGGTCACTGCCAAAATCAGGGCATTCACAAGTGAAGGCACCAACTGACCTGTACTGGAATTTGGTTGCAGCTTTGTTCACAAATGAGCTGGTGGTTAGTCTCAGGAGATTCATTTAAGGATAAGAAGAAGAAAATACTGGGCAGACTTGTAAGTATAGCCACAGATTTATAGTAGAGGAAACAAGGTGTTTGAGAAATAGGAATTGGGATGAGAGGTAGAGTGAGGAAGGTGACAAGAGGTAGGTTTAGACAGACTAATAAAGGATAGAGATTAAACTACCAGAAATTCAGGTTGGTGGGTCACGGAGCCACAGCATGGGAAGGCCAGGGAAGTCAAGTACATCAGCTGCAAAGTTCACATTCAACAGACGTTTACTGAGAACCTATAATGTATGAAATCTTTACTATTTCATGTCTGAGTTTTTCGTTTAATAATTTTACCCTTTATTTGTTTTTGGCTGTGCTGGGTCCTTGTTGCTACACTGGCTTTTCTCCCAGCAGACAGGAGTTACCCGTCATCGCACTGTGCAGGCTTCCTGCAGTGGCTTCTCTTGTTGCGGAGCTCAGGCTCGAGGGCACCAGACTTCAGTAGCTGCGGCACGTGGGCTCCGCAGTTGGGGTTCCCAGGCTCTGGAGCACAGGCGCGATAGTTATGGCCAACGGGCTGAGTTGCTGCACGGCGTGTGGGATCTTCCTGGATCAGGGATCCAACTCGAGCGTCCCGCATTGGTGAGGGGATTCTTGACCACTGAGCCATCAGAGAAGCCCCTCATGTCTTAGTTTATCAACAGATAAGTATGAGGCTGATATTTTTTTAATTTTACTGAAGTATAGTTGATTTATCATGTTGTGTTAATTTCTGCTGTGCAGCAAAGTGATTCAGATATATATACATTTACACACACACACACATACACACATGTTCTTTTTCATATTCTTTTTCACTCTGGTTTCTTAACAGGATATTGAATATAGTTCCCTCTACGATATAGTAGGACTTTATTGTTCATCCATCCTGTATAATAGTTTGCATCTGCTAACCCAAGATTCCCAGTCCATCCCTCTCGCATCTCCCCTTCCCCTTAGCAACCACAAGTCTCTTATCTATGTCTGTGAGTCTGTTTCTGTTTCACAGAGAAGTTCACTTGTGTCATATTTTAGATTCCACATATAAGTGATACATATGCTATTTGTCTTTCTCTTTCTGACTTACTTCATTTAATATGATAGTATCTAGGTCCATTTATGTTGGGGCAAATGGCATTATTTCATTCCTTCTATGGCTGAGTAGTATTGCATTGTATATATATACCACATCTTTATCCATCCCTCTGTTGATGGACATTTAGGTTGCTTCTACATCTTGGCTGTTGTAAATAGTGCCACTATGAACATAGGGGTGTATGTATCTTTTCTAATTATAGTTTTGTCTGGGTATATGTCCAGGAGTGGGATTGCTGGATCATATGCCAACTCTTTAGTTTTGGGGGGAACCTCCATACTGTTTTCCATAATGGCTGTGCCAATTTACATTCCCTGTGAGGTTGGTATTGATACTCTGATCTTACTGTTAAGGAAACTAAGATCTGAGATATTAAGTGATAAAGCCAGTCGAAACCCAGATCTGTCTGATTCCAAGTACAGACCCCAAGTATTCTTCCTACTACTCCATACCAAAGCAGGATGCACAAGGTAACAGTGATATCGTTTTAGAAACTGACCCAGTCTTCCCTGAGTGGACTGTTGCTCCATTGGAAACCCAAGAGTGTTTAAATTTGGTTTCTTTAAAAATGAAAGTAGTACTTTTCTGGTGGTCCAGTGGTCCTGCCAAATGCAGGGGATGTGGGTTCGATTCCTGTTCCAGGAAGATTCCACATGCTGTGGGGCAACTAAGCTTGTGTGCCACAACTACAGAGCCTGTCCTCTAGAGCCTGTGAGCTGCAGCTACTGAGCCTGAGTACCTAGAGCCTGCGCTCCACAAGAGAAGCCAGTGCAGTGAGAAGCCCGAGCATCACAACTGGAAAGTCGCCCCTGCTGACTGCAACTAGAGAAAGCCTGCACGCAGAAACAGAGACCCAGTGCAGCCAAATAAATAAGTTTAAAATTTTTTTAATAGAAAACAGCACAGAACGTAAAAATAAAAGTAATTTATGCATATGGTAAAAATATCAAGCAGTGATGAAAGGTGTGAGACAAAACTCTTTTCTCTCTACTATCATCTCCATCATTATTTCCTTTTCAAACCTACTTCCCAGAAGTCACAACTCCCAATGGTGTTTTCAATGCTTACTCTGCAGAATATTTTTGTGGTCCACAGTGACATTTAATGCATCAGATGGTCAGGAGATTCAAAACCATGTCATGTGAGAAAGAATTGAAGGAACTAAAAAGGTTTACTCCACAGAAGAGCCTGAGACGCATAAGTGCTGTCTTCAAATGTCTGGAGGACAGTCATGTGGGAGAGTCCTGTTCCCCATAGCCCAAGAGGTCACAGTTGGAACCTGTGGTATGGATACTATGGGAGAGGAAGGTTTTAGCTCAGCAAAAGGAAGAACACAGAGCTATTTCAATAAGGGTAAGAATGTACCTCCTACAGGAAGAATTCAAACAAAGGCTACATGACCACTGAGCAAAGACATCTTAATGGTAACAGGAGCATAAGGGGGAGGTTATCAGACCCTAGGTCATGAGAATGGGTGTTAAAGTCAATTTAGAGAAACATTTTAAAATAAATAGAATAAAGTGAAAAAAATCTCAGAATACATCACATTAAAGGTTGTTAAGTATTGTCATAGAAACTTTTTTCCTTAGGTATATGTTGCCTGTAAGTAAGGTTGTAACGTAAAACATATTTCATACTGCAGGCCATGGAAAAAAAATTTGAGAGATACTCCTCTGGGTGGCCATCAAGGTACTTTCAGACACTTACTGTGTGAAAGAGGTCTTGACTAGAGTCAGAAGACCTAGGTCCTCTCTCAGCCCCATAGTGGCAACTAGTCATTTTTCTCTGAACTCTTCCCCATTTGTTCACTGATGGTCAAAGTCATTTGGAACTTTAGATAGAATGCCTAAAGTCCTTTCCAGTTCTAGAATTTTCTATGTTAATTCAGCAGATATTGCTTGAGCAGTACATTCTATATGCCAGGCACTTTCTAAGTGTGGGGGTACAGTAGTGAACAAAACAGACCAAAACTAAGCTCCTGCTCCTTGTGGAGTTTACATTCTAACAAGAATAGACAGTAAGGTAAATTAGTGAATCATGGTGAATGTTAGCAGTTCATGCTAGGTGCTTAAGGAAGAAAAAATAAGCAGAGAAGAGGGATATGAAATATTGGAGAGGATAGATGGAGTGATCAGGGAGTCCTCCCCTAGAAGGTGATTTTTGAGTAAAGACTTGGTGGTGATGACAGCACTAGCCATATGGATTCCTGGGATCCCCAGGTGGAGGGAACAGAAAATACAAAAGGGGTGGGAAAGTGCTTGGAGTGTTCCTTGAAAAGCAGGGAGGCAAGTGTCAGTGTGATTGGAGGAGAGTGGAAAAACATTGTCAAAGATGCAGTCAGACAGGGAACCAGGGGCGCAGGGCAGAGCTTTTTAGAGCTGCTTCCATTCCTTTGGTAGTCTGCAGATGGTATTCCTACCTTCCCCACTTACAAGGATGGGCTGTGAGGAGAGGGGAATGTGCTCTAAAACTCTGAGGTCCTGGGCAAATATGACATTATGACCACTTTGTGGATTAAGGTAAATGAAGCATGGGAGAACGCCACCCCTCTCCCCAAGGCCCACCCGGCCCACCCTTCAGAGGATGCAGTCTTCTAGCCCACAACAGACCTCTCAGCAGTGCTTGTGCTATCAAGAGTCTAAGAGTTTCTTTGCTTTTGATTTAGAAATTTCATCACCCAAAGCTAAGTAGTCTTCATCGGGAGAACTTCATCTGGAATCTCAAAAGTGTTCCTCTTCTGGAGAAATACCTCTTTGCCTTGGGCCAGAATCGGAATCGAGAGATTGTTGAACAGGTCATTCAGCTGTTCAAGGATGAAGTGATGACCAGTCTAGGTCATTTTAGAGAATGTGAGTACCCACCCCAATCAAGTAAATGTATTTCTTAATTTTTCAATTGTCAAATTTCAAACCAGCAGAAAAATATGGAGGTACAACTTAGCTTTAACAATCTTAATACTTTGTCATATTTGGTCCTGTTGCTTTTAAAGAATAATACTTTCATCTCCCTTAAAATTGAATTTGAAGCACCTCTAAATTTACATGATTCTGCCTCTCCCCTCCCTACTAAATTTGCATACATCTTTTAATATTACTCAGTTGTGTCCAACTCTTTGTGATCCCATGGACTATACAGTCCATGGAATTCTCCAGGCCAGAATACTGGAGTGGGTAGACTTTCCCTTCTCCAGGGGATCTTCCCAACCAGAGATCAGGTCTCCCACATTACAGGTGGATTCTTTACCAGCTGAGCCACAAGGGAAGCCCTTTAATATTACTACATATGTATTTATAAATTACCTATATAGTATTTTGCATACTTTCAGACTTTAGATAAATGGCATCACACTATATTATCATCCTGCAAACTGATTTTTTATTCAACACTATGTTTTTCAGATTGATCCATTTAATAGATGTAGTTCTAGTTCATTTAGTTGATTAGTTTTAACTGCTGAGTAATATTCCATTGTGTGTGTGTGTGTGTGTATACTATAGTTTATTTTAATGTAATTTTTGAGTCTATTCTCTTGTTAATAGAATTTTAAGTTTATATATATATATATATATATATACACACACACATACATATAAAGGAAAAAAAATTGAGAGCTACTCCTCTGGGTGGCCATCAAGCCACTTCCAGACACTTATGTGTGAAAGAGGTCTTGACTGGAGTCAGAAGACCTGGGTTCTCTCTCATCCCCATAGTGGCAACTTGTCATCTTTCTCTGAACTCCTCCGCATTTGTTCATTGATGGCCAAAGTCATTTAGAACTTTAGATACAGTGGTCAATGCCTAAAGGCCTTTCCAATTCTAGAATTTTCTATGTTAAGAGCATTCATCTACTCAGCAGATATTGCTTGAGCAGTGCATTCTATATGCCAGGCACTATTCTTAATGTAGAGATACAATAGTGAACATATATATATATAAATGATGCTACAATGAGCATGCCAAGCATATTTCCTTTTGTACACGTGCAACAATTTCTTTAGGGTGTAATGAGCCTTCTGACCCAACATGAAGCACTGGTCAAAGGGCAAGGAACTGAGGGGGCATTTCTTGCAAAGTCGAGGATAGGCAGTGCACATCCTTTTCATCCTCTGCTTTCTGTATTAGTTGGCTCAGGCTGCCATTAAAAAACACCAAAGACTAAGGATTATTGCTTTAGCCTCCTAACTGGTCTCCCTGCTCCTGTCTGTCTCCCTTCAGTATATAGTCACTTGTGTCTTCCCGTTTGTTTTTTTTTTCTTTGCTTAAAATTACTTCTCTAAGATTATCCATGTTGTTGCATGTGGCTGTTTAATTTTTATTACTGTAGAGTATGTGATTCATAAATATACCACACATTAGCTATTCCTCTCTTCAAAGATATTTGAGTTGCCATGGCTGATTCATGTCAATGTATGACAAAAACCACTATAATATTGTAAAGTAATTAGCCTCCAACTAATAAAAATAAATGGGAAAAAAAAAAGATATTTGAGTTGTTTCCAGTTCTAGTCTGTTAAGAACAGTGCTCTGTGGATCTTCTTGTGTCTCTTGGTATATGTGTTCAAGAGTTCTTTGGGTATATGACTTCATGAGCTCAGGGGTAGAATTGCTAGGTCCATAGTTCATGTCCATATTCAACTTCAGAGATATGCCGAACAGTTTTATGACTTTGTACTACTACTAGCAGAGTATAAAATTTTTATTCCTCTACAATCTTGATACCATCACACTTCAATTTTTGCCAATCTGATGTATGTGTAATGTTTTCTTATTGTGGTTTTAATGTGTATTTCCCAATTTACTAGCCATTTGGATAGATTCTTTTGTGAACTGCCTATTCAACTCTTCTGCTGGCAAAGTAATATCTCTGCTTTTTAATATGCTGTCTAGGTTGGTCATAGCTTTTCTTCCAAGGAGCAAGCATCTTTTAATTTCATGGCTGCAGTCACCATCTGCAGTGACTTTGGAGCCAAAAAGATTAAAAAAATTTTTTTTCCTTCATAATATGACTATAATACATCTGGAATTTATTTTTATATACAGTGTGATTTTTCTTATGGCTGATAAATTTTCTCACCAACATTTATTAAAAAGCCATGTTTTCCACTTTATTTTCTAGTAGCACCTCAATTGTAAATCAAATATGATTTTGGACTGTATTTTGCTCTATTGGTCTATTTGTCTATCTCTGCACCCATAGCACACTGTGTATCAGCTAGGCTAGGTCATGCTTCAGTTACAAATAACCCCCAAATTCTTGTGGACTTAAATAACAAAGGTTTAGTTCCCACACAAGCTCAGGCCTGTCATGGATTGACTGGGACTATGTGTATTCTTATTTTGGGATTTAGACTGATAAAACTTTCACCAACTGGGATATTGGTATGGAGAAAGAGATGTAGTAAATTGTGCGCTGAATCTTAAAGCATCTGCCCTGAAGTGATGTCACGTGTTACATGTAGTGGCCAAAAAACAACACTGCTGCCAACAACTTTTGGAAAAGCAGGGAATTGGCAACCCAGCGTGTTCCTGGAAGGAAAATAACTGGAATATTTGAGCATCGCTAAAGATTACTACACTATCTTAATTTCTTTAACTTTTAAAGTCTTCATATCTGATAGAACATGTCCTCTCATTTTCTTGTTCCTCTTTAAAAGGGTCTCGACTTTTTTTTGTTCTTTCTACATTTCCATATCAATTTTGGAATCAGCTTGTCATGTTTAAAGAAAAATTTTGTTGAGATTTTGGCTAGATGTGGACTGAATACATACATACATACATACATATATATATATATATATATATATATATATTTGGAGAAAATGCGTATGTTTATATGATTGAGTAATCTAACCCCTGAACACTGGTCTATCTCTCCATTTATATAGACCAATAAAACATATATATGATGATATGTTTAGTTATCCTTTTACTGTTGATTTCTACTGTTGCATTATGGTCAGAGAATATACTTTGTATCAGTGCTGTCCAGTAGAGTTTTCTTCAATGATGGACATGTTTTGTATCTGTGTTATCTAATATAATAGCTCCTGTGTGGCTATTGAGCACTTGAAATGTGGCTAGTGCAACTAAGGAACTGAACTTTCCATTTTATTTAATCTTAATGAATTTAAATGGCAACTTATGACCAGTGGCTATCATATGGGACAGAACAGCTCTATATGATTTCAGTACTTTGAAATTTCTTAACATTTACTTCATAGTGAAGCATGTGGTAATTTTTTTAAATGTTCCCCATATGCTAAACAGAATTTATTCAGTAGGTGTTGGGTACAAAGTATTCAGTAGGTGTTGGGTGCAAATATGTCCAGTAGATCAAATCTATTAATCTTGTTGTTTAAATTTTCTGTACTGTTGGAAAAGGAAATGGCAACCCACTCCAGTATTCTTGCCTGGAAATTTCCATGGACAGAGGAGCCTGGCAGGCTACATGGGGTCACAAGAGTCGGACACAATGTAATGATGAAACCAAACCACCACTGTTGGCTTACCTTTTTGTCCACTTGCTCTAACAATGATCAAGAAAAGTGTGTTTAAAATCTCCCACTCTTAAAAAAAAACAAAAAGCCTCCCACTCTAACTGTGAATTGCCTATTTTTATTTGTATTTCTGTCAAATTTTGCTTTATATATTTCAAGGCAGTGTGCACATAAAATTAGAATTGTTGTCCTACTAGAAAACTGAATCTTTTATCAATATAAAATATCCTTCTTTATTTATCTTGCTTTTTGCCTTAATATCTACTCCATCTGACATTATATAGCTATCCCATCTTATTTATTGTTCTCTAGATTTTTTTCTGTCTTTTCCATTTTTACTTTTCTTTCTCCCTTCTTTTGAGTGAATTGTTTTTGTGCTAATTATTTTGTCTTTTTTTCTCTGTCTCCAGAAAACTATATACTTTGAATGATTATCTTATAATACTTCAACTTATCAAAGTCTGATACAGGGACCTTAAAGTAATTTCATTCCATTTATCTCCTTCCTGACTCATATGCTGC